AAGAAATTCTGAAACTCTCCACGCTTCCTAAGGATGTGAAAGCTGGGCAGCAGGTCTCAGTGCTAACCGGACGACTGCCAGGTTCTCGACCGAAACGGGCACCCGCCCCCACCAGCATGCCTGCAGCCGGAGCAGTTCCAGCCCGGTCTCTGCTGGACCGCCGTGGGGCCGCCTGCTAGGACCTGCCCAGCCATCCGGGCGGTTCTGTGGCTCGAGGTCTGGCTTCACTAAAGACCTGGACTTGGGACATCACAGTTCTCCAAAGACCCCAGCTCCTCTGCTCTCAGGCGTCCTGCCATTTGCTCTGGGAGCTCGTGGTCAGACAGATACACTCTGCCCCCTACAGGTGTCCTGCTGTCACACCCCAGGGCCTCCGGAGCCCAGCCTGGCCCCTCGCTGGTTTTGCCTCCTTCCAGCTTCATCACAGTCTTTCCAGCACCTTCTGGGGTGAGCTGCAGAAGCAGGTGAGGGCATTTAGGTGCTACTCAAAGGGGACAAGACCTCCCATTTCCTGGGCGCCCACTACTACTCGGGCTGGGTCTGGGGGTCACCATGCCTGTGGGACCGGACCCCCCCCGCCCCCCGCTGCCAGCAGCGGCTGTCCCATGCTGTGCAAGCCGACATTTGGGCAGCTGGCCGATGCTCTCCCAGCAGTGTGGTCGCGTGCGGCGTCCATATAGCCAGAGCACAGGGAGCCCCCCAGGAGGGCCTTGGTTCCCAAGTACAAGGGAAATGGGGAGACCTGAGTGCCAGGAAGAGCAGAGATGGGGGAGGAGCCGGCACACTGCAGGCCGGCTGCTGCTGCCTCGCCAGCAGGAACCGCCCTCTGGTCCTGTCCCACCTCCAGGGGACACACCTGGACCGGAGAGGCCCAGCTGCATGAGGAGCCACCCTAGACCAGGGGACGACAGGCCGGTGGCTCCAGGCGCCCATCTCCTGTGAACACGCGGCACCGTGGGGGACATGCTCCCTGCCCCTCCCACGACCCGCACACCACTCCTCGTGCATCTGGGGACCAAGGACGTCCAGGGGCCCTGGTGTTCTGGCTGTGTGGACGCCACACAAGAACACTCTGATAGGAAAACATCAGCCAACCGTCCGTTCTCATGGTGCCAGACAGCGGGGCCTCCATCCCACCGGCAAGGTGACCCCCAGACCCACCCGAGTCGGCCTCAGAGCTCCTGCTTTGGGAACTGTGGGATCCTAGCTCGGGTTTTAGGGTCTGCGGCAAGAAGGAAAAATCAGATTTCAGGGCTGAAGACAACATTTTAAAATCTGGCTTTAAATAAACGTGGAATAAAAAAAGAGAGAGTGTGGAGCCTCCAGCAGCCGAAATTAGAAGCAGCCAGCCAGGCAGGGAAGCCGTCTGCGCGCACGCGAGGCAGCACACAGCGTCTGGGACCCGCCAGCGGCACCGAGGAGCCGGGCTGCAGGTCCGGGTCGCCCGTCTCCTGCCGGGAAGGACCCACGAGGACGCATCCAGGCTCCTTCTCTGGAGCGTCCTCTGCGTTCAGGTGCCAGAGAAGACTCCTTCCTCTCCGCTCCCAAAATACCCCTCAGATCACTTTCAAGGCACTTTAAGTCATTTAAGAGGCAGAACAAGAAGAAAACAAAGACGCCATCTCAGGGGTAAAGGCAGGCGTTACGCTGACTGCGAGGCCAGTGTCTTTCCGCATCTTTCCCAGAAAGTCGAGTGACCACAAGCCCAGTGGGCCTGGCGGCCCCTGCGTGGGCTGCTCGCCTCTGGTCTCCTCCCCTGAAGCACTGTGTTCCTTTGATGATGGAGGGCAGGGAAATGGCTTTCTTAGCTTCCAATCTTGCTGCT